TGCGGCCTAAATGCCCGAAGGGGTATGTACATATTGATGCAAAGGTGCTTTAGGCGCTGTAGAGGGAAGACACGCTCACACACACACACACTGGGAAGTATTTCACTTAAATCTATGCATGAACCAATGCGAACATCACTAAAAGCGGTGGAACGCAAAACCATCTGACGATTTCCTGATGTTGTCTTGTTTTCCGCCCTACAAACCCTCTTCCTCTCCTCTGATTGTGGTGGTATTCATCAGGCATGCAAAGCACATGGATGGGGAAATGGCCGGGGCAGGGGTGCAGAGCACACGGAGAAGCGGACTAGAACTAATGAAGGCATGCCAAAGATCACATACATTGTGGTCCAGAAGAATCACCACACCCGCTTCTTCGTTGAAGGTGGTCGTGTCAATAATGCTCCACCAGGTAGGCGAACCGTGTTCGCGCAGTCACCAATGCATTCCTTTCTGTTGTGATCTTCATGCTGTTAAAACGCCACTACCTTTCATAGGCAAGGCACAGAATCGAAAATGCCACATTCGGGGTGACAAATGCTCAGGCGTTCACCTCGTGGTCACCACTCTTAGCTTGGAGGTCCTCGGTCCCCTGGAGGGTATGAATACAATGTACTTGCAGATTTCAGCGGGCTGTGACACTAAGTAGGACAATTTTGTAATTTTATTGGGCTCAAGGGTAAAAACCGTAGTTACCACAGGCCTCGGCGCCGCCCAAAAGGACAAAAAAAAAATGCCATGCTTGTGCTTCGGCAAAGCCTGGCGCATAGTTCTTTTCCGCCTCAGCAATAAGAGGCTTGGAGGGAATCGTGGTCTAAACTGCCAGCCAGTACATCGCCATGGCAAACTTGAGAATCGAAATCAAGCCAAGAAAATTTTGGAGGCTCCGGGCTACTGGACCAAAATGGATGGCGGTGCAGACCGAAAAGAGAAGAAATAAAAGAAAAGAAGTGGCACACTGGCATTCCAGCAAAGCTTGGCACACAGGGGGAATCCGTCTCGGCAAAAAGAGGCTCGGACGTAGTGGTGGTTTTAACTCTTTCATTTCCGCCAAGGACGATTGCAAGTGGTGCGTCAGTTGTTGCAGCAGCAGATTGCATATCCTATTGCAACTTGAACACTGAACAATGCAGCTGCTGGCCTGCATTCTACTGGCAATTGTTGCAGCAGAAGATTGCATATCCTGCGTTCTGCTGGCAATTGTTGCAGCAGAAGATTGCATATCCTGCGTTCTGCTGGCAATTGTTGGAGCAGAAGATTGTATATCCTATTGCAACTTGAACATTGAACAATGCAGCTGCTGGCCTGCGTTCTGCTGGCAGTCGTTTCCTTACAGAAAGATCATCTCAAATGACAAGTAGCAAAAGTCTGTGTGTTGACGGGCATGCACAGTATTTGCAATGTGCGAGGCACAAGGCCTCGGTAAGCCCTACTGGGCCCTGTTTGCAACAGTGTCAGCCGCCCTAAGTGAAGGCAGGCCCGACCAAGGACAAGAGGCCTGTTTTTGGCTACCACGCAACTGGGGGAATTCAGGTAGTTGCGCAGCGCCAGTTGGTTGAGAGCGCCCAGGCCCTGGCTGCCTTTTTCAAATGTAACTGAGGCAGGCCCTGGGCCAGATACGCAACACGGGCCGAATACAGGCTGCGGACAGTTAAGCACTCGTAACCACTCTAGGCCCTGGGCCTGACTCCCTGGACCGGGGCTCAGCCACTTGGGGCCTACCGGAAGCTTCTGGGCAGGGGCCCAGCGCAGCCAGGCCGCACGCAGCAGGCGGGCCACTTCCATATAGGAAAGTGTCTGCCCCCGCATTTGGCATTCGGGCACTTGCTACATGCTGCGCAAGCGCTGCTGCGCTACTGGCAGGCAAGCGCGCATGGGCGAGCAAGGGATACGCAGGCAGCCATAGCCGAGCTGGCCTGCTAGGTGCTGGATGGTGGTCCTTGGGTGCACATGGCATCGGTGTGGGGCATCGAGGTTGTGAGTGATGCGAGAGACATATCTGATGCTTGAGGCAAACGGCATTGGCCGAGATCTGCTCGTACTTCGGGGAGCTGTTGACGTCACCAACGGCGTTGTAGATAGGCTAGATAGGATCTCCCATCTGTAGTCTGGGCACAGGGCTCCAGATAGGAAGTCGACATCGGTTCTTTGTTGATGATGCCGAGACTATTTCAACATTGTCACTTGTGAGCGTTTGCTGTGCTCTTATTTGGTGGAAGTCGAGTTGCAATTCTGCTTTTGGTTTGAGGTCACGACTATCTCGTCTCATGTGTATGATGCTGTTTGGTTTCTGGAATTCGCTATCGCTCATTTTCCTTGCAAATGCTATGATCCTTCCCATTTCATGATGCAAAATTGAAATTTGAGACAGTGCCATACATCGCAACATTTGCAACCCAATAAGAAGAAGAACGAGTAGAGGAGGAGAACACAATCTGGAACCAATGTCATCTCCCTTGTTCCCTCACCCTTCCATCGCCTCCCTCGCATCCTTACTTCCACCTCTTTATTAGTAATGAATTACGATAATAACGAATGAATCAACAGGAATCAATACCTGAAAGGTTGTCGGAAGCTGAATATGGCAGACATCCGTTATGGCAGTGATAAGGAGTGGTGATAAGTTCTTGGAGTTGCATCGAAGAATGATGGAGTCTCCCTTGTTCCCTCACCACCATGGTCTCTCTCTCACGCTCAATCCCATCTCTTTATTAGTCATGAATTACAATATTACAATAATAATGAATGAATCATCGGGAACCAATACCTGACAGGTTGTCAGAAGCTGAATATGACAGACCACCGTTATCACATTGATAGGAGTGGCGATAAGTTCTCGGAGTTGCATCGCAGAATGATGAATTCTTGAATACCATTGTTCTACCTTAAGTTGTAATTCTAGAATGTCTGTATGATTCTCATTATTGGCGGTGTATAAAGGCGGATCCCCTTTAGCTTACTCCCACCTCTCCACTCCGCTTGGAATGGCTACGAGCCATGGTGGCTCAAACCCGTGTTAGCAGGAATGCTCAAAGGAGGGCAACAGAATTACTCTCATGCCTCTTCTCACGGATACTGCCATAGCTACCCCCCTGGATGGAGCTTGACCGGTACCCCGACAAAGGCCTTCTTGATGCAGCGGCGACCAGGTAGATGAAGATGTAGGTCTGCTCCTTGGTGGTTCCCTCCTCCTTCCTACCTCATCTATCTCTAGTCACCTCCATGACCCGGGTGGTAATTCTTCTCCCAATACCACCATCGCCTGGAGCATCTCCTACCTCCCACTTTCTACTACTACATAGCGACGGAGGCCTTCTTCCTCAGCCTCAGCTCCTCCTCCACCCTCCAGCTGCTGCACCTCACTCTCCCTCTGGCCGGAGAAGCAGCTGGACTGCCGCGCGAATGAGCTGACTACCCAGGGCACCAAATTATATACTCTGCGGTTCCTCAGCCTCCAGTACCTCTTCTTGGCCAGGCACTTCCTGGCTCCACTGGCCTCCCTTTCCCTGAATTAGGCCTGCCAGGTGTTCTCCGCTTTTGGTGGGAACGCCATCGCAGTGTGGTATCTACCTGCACGGCCGGATACGGTATCTGTACAGGGTATGCTGCAGTGTGTAATGACCCCCCTCCTCCACACCACCCACAAGACACCCCCCGTCTTGTGCTATCACTGAGTTCATAAGGTTATTCTTTTTTTTAACAGCAAGCAACATTTACTCGATTGACATTAATGTCATGAACATGATAACGTAGTAAGGATATTCTTTTTTTTTTTTAAGTTTCTACTTCAAAAGATATAGAAACGGCAAAGCATCACTGAAAATGTTAAATACTTCACTAAATAGTAAATTCATAATCCGATATTTGAACCATATTCCTATTTATGATTTATCCCCGTTATTCCCGATAGTGCGAATCGTAATTAGTACGAGTAAGCTGGTATAACCTCTCCACAACTCAAAACCCTTTTCTTGTACAGCGACTGGGCAGAAATGCTTTCTACAAAAGTGATCTTTCCCCTTTTTTTGTTTCTGGATCCGCACCATGTTTCCCATGAGCGCTTTGTGTGAGATATGGAGGTGAGAGAAGTATGTGATGATTTTGTTTTTCTTTTCTTTGTGGGAAAGAGCAAGGAATTCCAAAGTACGTGATGATTCCGCAGGCATTCGAAGTTCAAATTTCAAACATGTTTCTTTTTAACTTTGTTGAAGAATCATAAAACTTACCGCGGTAACAAAGCTGGTTTTACATGATTCCGCTTTCCTCGCCTTTTAACTAGTTCCACCCGCCACTTGTGACAGAGTCTCAGTCTACCGGACGAAAATGACCTGCCTGCGAGTGCCGGCCGGAACGAAAAAAGATTGTGCCTGATCAGCCTACCGGACTGAAATGACGGGATTGCTTTTTCTTGGCAACGGGTACAAAATCCAGTCCAGGAAAAAGAGGAAGGCTATACCTTCGTCCCCCGAATAGAACGTACGGTCGTTATGCCTGCATTTGGGGCAATTCTCAGTCCAGAATCCAGCTACAGGAATAATGACCGTACGTTCTATTCAGGGGAAGACAGTACAATGGGGACTGTTTAAAGTGTTTCGGCCAAAGTCGCCAACTCCCTTAAAAAATTAAAATTAAGCTCGATGTGACCAACGAGGAAAAGTATGGTTCAGTCACTTCAGTGGTTCTTTTATTTAGAAACTTGTTTCCTTTTCAAAAAAAAGAAAAACAAAAAAAAAACGAGGTAGTGCCAGGTGTAAAAAAAAAAAAAAAAAAACGAGGTAATGCCAGGTGTGCTGATAAGAGCAGGGGCCACTGGCACTCTCCGGGTGGCTCCATCTATTGGTGGGGAGCAGCACCTGCCGGAAAGGTTCGGCATCCCATTGTACATACTGTTTCCTGTTGTAAAAGATATGCTTCAATATATGCATGGGGTGCAGAGCAACACCTACGTGGAAGATTGATGAAACCAAGTCCCTCGCCACCCCCTTGCCCTGCTTCCCCTCCCCCCCCCGCCCCCCCCTTCTCCCCCTCCCTGGAGGGCCACAGCACTGCGTATGCAGAGTGCAGCAACTTTCTTTTTTGCTTGTTAAAAAGGATGCAAAACTCGTGCTCACGACTTTCTAAACTCAGCTCAGGACGTGATAGCGATCAGATGCGTACGGACCTGGACGTCATTGCATTCAGGATACATCTGGCAAAGTGCTTTCGTGAATATGCCCTGATTCAGCTTAGTACTCATTGGCCGTTACTCCTCAAATTAAGCTGTTTTATGAGCTTTTATGAGCTTTTATCTGGTGGAGGAGGATTACCACCCTTGTTGTTTTCCCTTTTTTGCTGAAGTGCTTTTGTATGCTGTGTTTGATAACTTGCAGGCTTGGTGGTTGATTCAACTGTTTGCCATCCAAAATTGTTTGACTTCTACCTTACTCCTCATCAAGGAATAAAGGTTAGTATCTTTGGTGTCCTTTGCCTGATCTGTTCTTTTCTTCCAACAATGTATCTATTGCACTTGCGGACAGAATGCTCTCAGTATTTTACATCGTTGACCCGGTTATACCACCACTAGCTTTCCCGCGGTTGGGGAAATGGGAAAATAGGCTACTCCTAAAAACTCGGGGGGCTGGGCCGAACGGCGGCCGCCGTTGACAAATCTCATCGGCGGCGGTAGTTTCGTTTTGTCGGCCTCCGAAACAATTGGGTACCCCACAGTGTGAAAATGAGGCCCAGGTAGTGGCGGTTTAAACCGCAAGTACGCCGCGCCCAGGCAAACTTGAGAATCGAACTTGGGTCATTCCCAACTGGTGCAAAACAAGAGTGAATCTTCCGCTAGAACATGGAAAGATACAGCACCATGATTTTTGTGTTTTGTGCTTGTCGAGAGTAGTGGAGCCGAGGCCCTATCTTCCCAAAATATCAACTCACGTTATCAGTGCGGGCACTGTGGGAACTTGATGTTGCCCTCGAACCGCCGGTGGACCGCCTGCGTTGAATTGTGTTGACGCATACATCCAGTGAAAGTATGACTACAGCATCCAACAGCGCCGACGACAACAACGAATGACTACAGCAGCCAACAGCGCCGACAACAACAATGAACAGCGCCGACGACAACAACGAGCAGGATACCACACTCCTTGCAATCGGGGAACTGCCGACACTTGACCACAACCAGACACGACGCAATGTGGAACAGAGGAGAGAAGAAGACGGAAGAAGAAAAGTCAAGGACTGAAGACCAAAAAGAGAACCAGATACACCAGGATATAGAAGGCCGTCTCCCGAACGCGACGTCAAAAAATATAACAATGATGAACAGGCGGCATGGACCCGACTGGTTTCGGCCGGCCGCCACCGGCAACTTTTCAGGGGTCTTGGTCGGTCATGAGGTGTCTAACTAATGGTGGACTCATCTATTTATTTCCGGTGCATAGAATGAATAACCGTTGATGTCATCAAGAGCCAAAAAAGACGGACATAACTCCGAATAGATGTAACTCGAGTTACTCAAGGGACCGCGCAAGTGCATACGTTACCGACCACAATTTGAACCGTAGACCACTCGAAGCACGAAAAAAAAACATAAAACATTCTGCAACTTCAGGACTGAAACCCTCCGATCGCCTCATCGTATCTGGATACTGCCGGGTCACTTCTACTCATCGTAAACAATTCAAACTCTTTATCTTGACGCCATTCGATTTGAAACATCATTACTGTGTTCCATTTGAAACTAGATATCAATACCGACTAACCATCTGGCCTTGTTGCGGGAGACCAACAATACAAGGTGACGCCCACGCGCCAATTTCTCATCAACCGTTGTTTACACCAAGACCACAAACAGGTCCCATAGCATACACCATCTTGGACCTCACTCGTCATTAACCAACCAACCAATACAAGGTGACGACCATTCTCTGTGGCCGCATTTGAAATGCCGAGACCGCAAATCATGTTCCCTAGCATGTACCTCTTTGGACCTCACTCGTCATACTGGCATTCATCCTCACATTCTAATTTATTTTAACCTGTACTCGTAAAAAGATGGTGCAAACCGGGTGCCCTACTGTAATCCAATGATTCCAGCACCGTGCGAACTTGCGTGAAATGTTCACGAGGGGCTGGCCATTGGGGAAGGCCCGGAAACCCCTTCCAGTCAACACGGGGCCGTGGAAACAATCGGTGTCAGGGTCAGAAAAAGGCTGGCGGCACCGGTCAAAAAAAATTGCGCGCCATGGCGGTTTCTGATTTCTTAGAGTAGGGAAATAATCTGCATTCGGCGCATTGGGAAAAACGTCAAAAAGAGAGGCTTGGGTCCACTAGCAGTTTAATGGGGTTTGCCAATGGGATAGAAAAAAGCGTAATGGACCTTGATTACTGTTGACGTATGGGCATGTAGAGGCCTTCAAGCTTGCGAACTTCCTAATCCCAATTCTCGCCATCTTCTGTGTGCGAAATTGACCTGGCCCTCATTGTCCCGGACAGCTGAAAAATGCTCAGGATTATGCACTTTGGGCTTGGTGCACAGCGGATGGGGTCGGCCCGTAGCATGGGTCTTGGGTGGTCATTTGCTTTTCAATGAATGTCGAGTTCCCCCTCCAAGAATGCTCTCCGTTTCTTGGGGCCCAGTTGTTTATCCAGACCAGGCCAGACGCACACACACTAGAGGTAAAGCTGCTTCCGTTTTGGATCTACTCATCTGGGTGGAACAGGGGCTGTTGTGTGACAATCTACAACACGCGCACACACACACACACACACACACACACACACACACACACACACACACAAAGACGGACA